TAACATAAGCCTTCAGATATTGTATTCCCTGTGCTAGGATTGAATAGAGTTGTATAAATCTAGTTTTACAAGGATAGTCTAATCTTAAATGTTATATTCCTTGTGTTATGATTGAATAGAGTTGTATAAATCTAGTTTTACAAGGATAGTCTAATCCTAAATGTTATATTCCTTGTGTTATGATTGAATAGAGTTGTATGAATCTAGTTTTACAAGGATAGTCTAATCCTAAATCTTGTATTCCTTGTGTTAGGATTGAATAGAGTTGTATAAATCTAGTTTTACAAGGATAGTCTAATCCTAAATGTTGTATTCCTTGTGTTAGGATTGAATAGAGTTCCTACTTGTTTAAATCTAGTTTTACAAGGATAGTCTAATCCTAAACAATTCTCTTTTACAGCAAAATTAAGAATATATTAAACAACGCTTTACAACAGACACAGATTATATAAATAGATACAAACAAGTAAAAATAGGGCACAGAAAGGACAAAGATATGACACGATTAGGCTACAGAAAGTACACAGGAAGGACACAGATAATACACATATAGGACTTAGATAGGTCACAAATAGGAAACAGATAGGACAGGGATAAAACACAGATAGAACACAGATACAACACAGATATGACACAGATAGGACACAAATATGACTCAGATAGAACACAGATAGACTACAGATAGTACTCATATAGGACACAGTTAGAAGTAGGACATTAATATAAGACATAGATATGACACATAAAGGACATTTAGAACACAGATATGACTCAGACAGGACATATATGGAACGCAGATAGGACACGGAAATGACATGGAAAGGACAAGCAGGACTCACTAATACAGAGAAAAAAATATCGGACAAATATGTGACATCCTTTTCTCATTTAGGAGAGTTAGAATATTATTTAAACACGCATCTAAACATACAAGTAGGGATGTTAACGTTTTCATTTGTTTGAAAAACGATCGTTTTTTTCGTTTTTCTATCGTTTTCCGATCGTTTTAAAAACTATCATATTTTAAAAAAGTTTTTAAAACGATTGTTTTTAAAATGATCGGAAAATGAAACAAAAAAACGATAGGAAAACGAAAAAAAAAACGATCGTTTAATGATCGTTTTCAAAAACGATTAACAACCCTACATACAAGTTTATTTATTTTTATATATGTTTATTCATCTATAAAGATTGAGATATTACTAATAAGCAATTACAATTTACTTTTTACAGTTTTGACCCGCCTAACCAGGGTAGGTTGTTTTGAGTGGTTGGCCTTAAGTTAGTTAACGATAGTGAATTTATTTGGATATGCTAAACACAAACAATCTAATAAAGTTTCAGCTTTTTTATAAAATCTACTCACATGATATACAACTTTTTCGCGTTTAAACCTCTCATAATGTTCAAGATAAATATTGACTACCCTTTGATTGCATATTTTTACAGATTTAGTTTCTTTAAGGTCAATTTCAATTGCATTCCACAATTTAGGAAACATTGCGGATTTTTTCATATTGATATATTACAACAGTTGGGGGCAATAATTAAATATACAACAAACTGGGTCTCGCAAAATAAAGAAATCTCATAAAAAAATTTTTAAATGTAAATATTTATTCATGGTTTATAAAATTTGAATTACAATCTAAAAAATGCATGTATTAAACACATTATGACTTTTTACTATTTATATCACTTAAAGTCGTCTGCCGTAGCTTGTAGACATTGGTTATTTTTAGAATGCCAATGAATAAGTTGACAACTAGCTCTCGAGTCATCCTTTTGGGGAAAGCAAGTAAAAAATTCACCAATTTTTAGTGTAGATTTTGTTGGACACAAAAAACAGTTTTTATCCTGACAATACCCGAATATTGGATTGATTATATTAGTTGGAGGAAGAGGTGGTTTAGGATCAGATTCTTGTTCTTCCTTATCAAGCTTAAATTCGGGTTTACTCTGGAAGAGTGTAACAGGAGTAAGAATATGTATGTCTGGCGTACAACCTCCATCCAGCTGGGGAATAAGTTCCAAATATTTCACTATAATTCCTATCTTAAGGGGACATACATCCTTCTTAGCTTTACGGGTTCCTCCTTCCTTCCATGGGCGCCTCTCCTCCTTTAATGAGGATCTAACACCCTTCAGGGTGGTTCTTTCCTCCTTCTGGAGGGACCTCACTTCATCCAGGGTGGGTCTCTGCTTCTTCAGGGGGGACCTCACATCATCCAGGGTGGGTATCTGCTCCTTCAGGGGGACCTCACATCGTCTAGGGTGGGTCTCTGCTCCTTCAGGGGGGACCTCACATCGTCTAGGTTGGGTCTCTCCTCCTTCAGGGGGAACCTCACTTCATCCAGGGTCGGTCTCTGCTCCTTCAGGGGGGACCTCACTTCATCCAGGGTGGGTCTCAGCTCCTTCAGGGGGGACCTCACATCATCCAGGGTGGGTCTCTTCTCCTTCAGGGGGACCTCACTTCATCCAGGGTGGGTCTCAGATCCTTCAGGGGGGACCTCACTCATCCAGGGTGGGTCTCTTTTCCTTCAGGGGGTTTCTCACATCGTCTAGGGTGGGTCTCTGCTCCTTATCCTTAACTTGGTTGGTTTTCTTGGTTTCAGATATTAAATACCGTTCTCTCCTCCATCTTCTTTTCTGGGTAGAGCTATAGGTTTTCTTGTGCCTATGTCCGGGTAAACGAGTAAAAGAGAAGAATTCTTGTCAATCTCTAGACCACAGCTGAAGTTTCAAATTTAGTCCAGAACTCACTCCAGATTTATACAACTCTAGGAGCCTGTATGTAATATTCATGTTTGTTGAACTGGATTTCCCGCCATGATACAGCCGGGTCAGCCGGTTAGATCTGGTTTGGGAGAGGGAGAGAGAGTTGCTTGTTGTTGACGGGAGCAGGTTAGGACAGGTTATGAGAGAGACTGAACAGGTTATGAGAGAGACTGGACAGGTTATGAGAGAGACTGAAAGGTTATGAGAGAGACTGAAAGGTTATGAGAGAGACGAGATATTTGTTAGAAACAAAAAAAATATTGCTATTTTTTTTCATTTTTTTGACCCGTTTTTAAGCATTTTTTCCACCCTTCGCTAGCAACCAAACTAATAAAGTTATCGGTCTAACTTTTTTTGAGCTGGCCATGAAAAATTGGGCTATAACTAGCATTTCAACCCTAGCTATACCTATTCTCTAAGGCCTTTTTCTAGATGGGGCGCCAAACGCCCCCTCCCCAAGGCTATATATACATTCAGACCCCCCAGCCTATATAGGGTTAAAGAGAGAAATCATGACAAGAAATACATTAATATATTGTAATGTTCTTCATTAATTGTCTTTCAGTTTTTCCGTCTGTATAAGGTAAAAGTTAAAATGTATAAGAAAGAAATTTTCTTTTTATATTCCTTGTTTACCAAACATTATTTTAGTTTGTTTATTCAACAATCTCTGTAAAGAAAAACAAACACAATTTTAATCAAGAAATTTAAGAGAAATTATGAATTATTAATTTGTTGCAGTTCTTGCATAAACTTTTCTAGAAGAATTTAAACCAACCAAATTTTTGTTTCCACATTTACCCTTGGAAGCATATTGATCGGGCAACTTGTTAGAGGATCCATGGTATGTTCTTAGCTTGATTTTAAATTTGGTAAGATCTCAACTCATGAACATTGCTGGATTCCCAAGCTAGTAATACAATTTCGACAAGAAAATGGTTAATCTTTATCTTCTGAAAAGTTCTGATCTTGAAATCTGGTGGAGAAATCACATTTATCCAGAATTGGCCATTTTATAAATTGGACTTTGCATTAACATTGTTATTTGGTAAATTATGCAGATAGTTTGCTTTAAACTCATTCAACCCTTTCCACTTATACAGTTACATCATTTATATATGTATGCAGTATAAAATGATACTGACATACAGTATTTACTAAATAAACAATCTATGTCGGGTAGACATTGTATAACTGATTTATTTCTAAAAACGCGTTTTGAACATTTTAAAACGCATTCAAACCTTAAGTTAAGTGTAGTTTAAAACTGAGTCTTATGTCCTTTTATGAAGACACACCTAGCTGCATATATTAAATACTGCCATTTGTATTTTATGTTTTTACTTTGACGAAGTTTCAACCTTGGAAAAGTCACAGAATTGTTGTTTTCAGGTGTATATTAAATAGTTTTAATCCTGTAAGTAAATAATATATTACCATATTTCAGTAGCATATCGTTGTTGGACAGAGACTAAAGGCCTGTAGGTAGGACTGGGCAAAGTTCCGCTAACGAAACGGATTTTTTTCGAAAATTAACGGAAAAGTCCGTTAACTAACAGCAAATCGTTAAGTAAATAATTTAGCTGTTTTTGAAGAAAAAAATTTCGGTTAAAAACGTTAACTGAAAAGCTTAAAACTGTAAATTCGATGTTTTAAGTGTTGTCTTCTGTGTTTATAAACTGTTACCGAAATATTCTTTGCAGTTAACGCAGTTAATACTGTAATATATACTTTTTACTGCTGTTTCGTTAATAATTTTTTACACTGTAAACAAAATTTTTTCGTTAATCCCGTTAATTTTGCAATAACGGTACTATTAACAGCTAGAGCCGTTAATGATTGTTTAAACGCCGTAAATAAAATTAAGATCATTAACTAACGGCAATTAAAAAAAAAACGGAAAATGGCGTTGATGGAACGAACGCTCCGTTATTATCTTAAAAAATTAATAGCTAACTGAAATTTATTAACATTTGAACGGTGGGAACTAACCGTTAATGAAACGACAAGAAAAAGTTGGAATGTGACCAACCCTACCTATATTATTTCGATATTTTGTTGCTTTTTTTTTTAAAGGAAAGAGAATGCACATCATTTGCAAAGTAGTTTTGCATACGTTTTTACACAGACGCCTGATATGCTTTTGTTCAAAATCTAATATTGTAAAATTTACAGTTACCCCTTTCGGTCGCAAATATATAAAGATTAAAAAAAGTAGAGTCTTTTGGGGTCTGTGAAATCGTTTATTTTCAATAGTTTTATTTTAAACATTGCAAGGTAACAATAATACTAAGTTGCATTAATTTCAATTAAACAAAGATCTTTTTGTAAATTTTTGATATATTTATGAATAGAGAAGGTTTGGATCTGTTGTAGATGTTGTTGTACTTGTTGTTGTTGTTGATGTTGATACAGTTGTTGTGGTTGATGTGGAAGATTTCGGACTAAATATATAAATAAAATCATTATTATTTTAAAATGCTACAAAATGTGAGAATAAAACAAGATTTTATTTGTTGTATCCGTTTCTGTGTTGCTTAATCGATTATAATACATTCATTAACAAAATATGTCCACCATTGGTTTTGTTTTTGTATAGACATACAGTGACGTAGGCGATTATATGGTACTAGGCTTTAAAACATCTTCTTTTTAAATTGTGAACATGTTCTTTTTGTTTACATTTTAAAACAAAGAAGAAAAAAATTTTGCGGATTTTAAAAATAAATTCGCGGATTTTCAAGAATTTAAATTTTTTACAAAATTAAAAACCTTTAAAACACATTTTTTTTTTTTAATCATTCATAAACCTTTCCTGTGGTCACGTGATGTCCCACAAAAAATTTGGGCCCGATTGGTTCAGCCGTTTTGACGTTTATTGGATACAAACAAACAGACAGACAAGCCAAATTTATATATAGATGGGATTGTATCAACACAATTTTTACTTTATCAAACTGTTAAACAGCATGGATACACCGCGACCCTAATATAGAATTCAAGAGAAGCTGCCAATTTAATGAACTTTTTACTTATGTATAAACTTGTAATTAGATAAACGCTAGTTAATAATAAAAACTTAAATAAAGAAGTTGTCTGCATTGTATTGATATAATCGTCTACCACTTTCGTTTTTTATTTAATTAACTTAATACAAAAATGTATGACTCACCTTTGTTCTACTTGAGATCTAAAGTGAGGAGTTTTACTTTCCTTTTTGTTTCCACATTTACCCTTGGAAGCATATTTGAAAATCCACCTAGACAACAAATATAGGTGATGGTCAACAATTCTCAAAAAAATGTTATCTACAAATCCATCTAATTCAATTAAAATCTGATAGGAAAAGGAAAATTGAAAATGTTCTAAACTCTTTAACCTCAGTCAAAAAGACGAAGTGTTTGAAAAAAATAAATCAAATTTTACTTTTTACAATAAATAAGTAAATATGAGAACTTTGTTTAAACAATTGTAAGACTGTAATATCATCCAAATATAAAAGAAAAGTAAAAATGCCAAAAATGATCAACAATGATGAATTTTGTCTCGCAAAATTTTACTTAAAAGTATAAGGGGTAACCCTTTATTAACAGTTTAGAAAGTCCCTTTTTAGAGAAATAACAATTGAAAATAATTAACTTTAAAAGAGAAGATTGTGAATAATTAATGGATTCTTAATACGAATTGCCAGTTTAATCCATAAGTGTATCGGAATTCGGAAAGTTGCAAATGAAATAAAAAATAGAAGACTTTAAACTAACATTTAAATATCATTCTCCATAGTTTAGTATTGGATAAGAGTCAGTTTAAATATAAATAATACAACCCCTGTTCCTTCTATTAATAAAAAATTAAATTCTCTCCTGGTTTTTACCTTGGTGTAATGTAATATTAAATAGTGCGAAAAACTAGCTTCTCAAGTTTATATTTTATGTAGGAAATCCAACATGATAGAAATTACTGTTGGATTAAAACACAATCTTGTAAAAATATGTAAGAGTCCCCTTTATATTCTTGCTCAAAAAAATTGCATTATATTTTTTTTTAAATTTACAAACCTGGTGAACAGTCCTAAACATTTAAATAGTACAGTTTAACGATCCACATCACAGTTAAATTTTCAACAGTCTATTTTAGATTTTAACGGGAATTTTAAGGAAAAATGAAAGGGGGTATAGACTGCAGCCTAAGTATTTTAGGAGTTGATTGCGACCAATATTGTTTTTATCTAGTGTCTGGTGTACCAGTCTCGATAAATTGATATAAAACTATATCAAAGTTATACAAAAATTCATATATAAGTAATCTTGTCAATGGAGCCTTGAGACCAGATACTGAACGGCCATTGTTGGAAGTTCTGGTCATGTAATGCAGACATAGCCACATGGCCAGACACTACACTGCCATTGCTGGAAAATCTAGTCATTTAATACAAATGTATCAATTATATTATCAGTTATCTATATAAAATAAATAAGTATTATATTCAAATTATGACAGGAGTATATATGACAGTTTTAGGCACCTCTGTATTAACCTAATGTTCAGATATGTTCTGTATTTGCTGAATAGTATCTGTTTAAAACTTTGATTCATATACCATGTTACATATCAGTATATATGAGTTTCGGTATAAATTTGACACAGTTTAATTTCAATTTCTCAAGACATGGACATCAGATAGAACTAATATTGGATCCAATTAATTCCTAATTTTTTAGGTTTCATCCAATACCCCCTTCTATTTTACCTGAACGGTCCCTTTAAACAGATTCTATTCCTGAATTGTCTCACTCATAAACATAATTTAAGAAATTATGCATCAACCTATGAGACCACCAAAACTTTGATGTTCCGGCCGGTTTATGCCTTTTTACCCACCTCCCCCCAATCCTTATAGTTTTCTTTTCTTTGAGGGTCCCATCCAAACCCTAGCCACCCGCTCCTTATAAACAAGTGTTAAGTTTATTGTAGGGAGAACCTTAGTTTAGTTTTAACCCTTGTATAGACTCCAGCCTGGTTCTCTTCAGCACAAGATGCACCTCTAGAAACTACTCCCACTACCACCGCCTGGTCACCCAACCATTTCAAAAGGGGACCACCAGAGTCACCCTGAAATTACAAAATTTAAAAGGTTAACTAAATGGTATTAGCAGAGGTTAAACATTCTAGCTCGACCCCGGTAGCCTTTCTAGTCACGGAAATACAAAATTTTATACTAGGATGAAATCCAAGTGTCCTTGATATATTATACGCACAAAATAATTTTAGTCATCTCTTTCATTTTAGTCATTCGTTAAAAATTGCATAAATGAAATTTTCACATAGTCACAAGAGAGCCAAAGGGACTATTTACTAACCTGACCGTGTCCCTGCCACCAATAATGTATCAACGGAGATTAAGGAACTGTTTACTAACCTAACAAGTGTCCCCTCCTCCAATAATGTATCCAAGATGTAGAGTCTGAATTCAGCGGAGATAGATTAAGGAACTGTTTGCTAACCTGACAAGTGTCCCCTCCTCCAATATTATATCCAAGATGTAGGGTCTGAATTCAGCGGAGATTAAGGACCTGTTTACTAACCTGACAAGTGTCTCCTCCTCTAATAATATATCCAAGATGTAGAGTCTGAATTCAGCGGAGATTAAGGAACTGTTTACTAACCTGACAAGTGTCTTCTCCTCCAATAATATATCCAAGATGTGGAGTCTGGATTCAGTGGAGATTAAGGAACAGTTTACTAACCTAACAAGTGTCCCCTCCTCCAATATTATATCCAAGATGTAGAGTCTGAATTCAGCGGAGATTAAGGACCTGTTTACTAACCTAACAAGTGTCCCCTCCTCCAATAATATATCCAAGAGGTAGAGTCTGAATTTAGCGGAGATTAAGGAACTGTTTACTAACCTGACAAGTGTCCCCTCCTCCAATATTATATCCAAGATGTAGAGTTTAAATTTAGCGGAGATTAAGGAGCTGTTTACTAACCTGACAAGTGTCCCCTCCTCTAACAATACATCCAAGATGTAGAGTCTAAATTTAGCGGAGATTAAGGAGCTGTTTACTAACCTGACAAATGTCCCCTCCTCCAATAATATATCCAAGATGTAGAGTCTGAATTCAGCGGAGATTAAGGACCTGTTTACTAACCTAACAAGTGTCCCCTCCTCCAATATTATATCCAAGATGTAGAGTCTAAATTCAGCGGAGATTAAGGAACTGTTTACTAACCTGACAAGTGTCTCCTCCTCCAATAATATATCCAAGATGAATAGAGGTTGTATTCATCAGAGCTAAGGGAAGATCATCTTCCCTAGGTTCTAAACTTTTCACTTGGTCTCCTTGGAAAAAAGAAATAAGAATAAAAAAATGTTGAGGTCCAAACCCTGACTTTCATAGATTAAGGCTGACAGAGAGATATGGCTAGAAAAAGTTGGAACGTGCCCAGCCCTACTTAAAAAACGCTCAAACAACTGAACTGATGTCACATCCAAAAAGGTAAACATTTATTAATTTGAAAATACGTGAATTAAAGCAGAAAAATCCGCGAATACAATTTAACACAGAAAATGGCAGCTTGAAGAGCAACGGATTACAGCTAAAATAGTTACTAGAAAAGGGACGCAAAGTGTCATGAAAGCTTAGTTCTTTAGATGATTGTGATAATAAAGGTTGAACTTTTTACACTTTTTAAAATTTTTACTTGGAATACAAATGAAGTCATAAACTCTTTTTTAACAAATATAACAGTTTAAACACTGCATAATTCCTTTTTATTAACATGCAATTCTTATTGGCCCTATAATATCTATATCACTTTTGGATAAGCTTTGGGTATTTTGGGCAATGGAAGGGTAACAAAACAAGCATACAATCAACCAGAATTTTGTAAAAAAGTCAGGGCCGGACGATCCTTTCTCAAAATTATGGCTTCAATTGGAACAGTTGCGTGGAATTGCACGAAGTTAACAGGGTTTGCAATTGCCCGCAGGTAAAATCCACTTGCGTTGGAAACCCTATAGTCAAAAAAGATACCAGTAATAAGGTATATAGAAATAAACATTTATCAATCAATCAATCAATTGACCATAAATATAATAAGACTAATAATAATAAAAGTAACAGGATGAGAAGAAAGAGCAAAGACAAAAACCACTTTAAACATGTTTAGTTACCAATTACTACTGGTATACCTGTTAAATTGAAATATCCCAATCTTGGTTTAATCTTCTTCCCTGCACAGATCTCCCGTTTCGTATTTATACTACTTTTGTTCCCAAACAGTTCACATTCCTTACTAGGATTTGCGTTCAGACCGCAGCAAGAAATTATAGAACGCAAGTTTGAAAACTAATGTGTTTTTTTCTCAATAAAATAATTTTAAAAAATATAACTTTTTTAACAAATGATCTAAAACGATCGTTCAGTTTGAAGGTGCTTATTCTTACCCACTTACCATTTTTAAAACTTATGGAGCAATGCAATGCTTAATTTCTTAGATTTTTATGGAGCCTCTTATTTTAAAAAAGGGGAACAACTATGTCCAATTTTGTTGATTGTAAGCGTCAGTTAATATGTAGAGGGTCTTGGACGAAACTCAAATTGTAATAAAAAAGGCCATTAATTATTTGTAAATTTCTTCTTAAAGTGTAAAAATCTTCAGGTATGGAAAATTGTAAAAACCAGGTTATGCTGTCCAAACACTTTCCTGCCAAGAATGTCCAGAAGAATATAATTGAGTTCTCCACTTCCAGTAAACTGTTTTCCTGACAACCTGTTGCAAATAAAATGCCTCAAATGGACTAAATTTGGTTTGGTTAAAAATTGTATGTTAAATGTTCTCTCTATACTTCCAATACGTCTAAAAATGGCTGCAAGTTTGTTCCTCTTTTATAATAATTCTGGCCTTATCAACTCACAAGTTTTTATACAGCAGTTTTCCTAGTTTTAAGCAAAATTATTTCTACCTCTCACATGCACTTGATTCTAAGCAGAAGCCCCAGTTTTTAGCAGTCATATTTAGAAATTGTTCTGCTGTTTCATTAACACTATTCTCTCCACAATACCCAGATTCCCCTGGTTCTGCTTTGCTCCTTAAACAAAAAGTTGTTGCATATTTAAACTTTTAAATACATTTAAAACCGCAATTAAACCTATTTGGAATTATTTTTCTAATTCTTATGCGTAAGTAAAAAAATTGTATTTATAGATACGCGTAATTAAGCTAAAAGATATTACACATGAAAACTTTCAATCATTAATTTACTTATTTTAAAAGCCTTTAAAAATTAATGTATTAACACATATGACATTTAAACTTTTAAAATGTGTGCACTATTTCAGAAACACCATTATAGGAATATTTTACTCCTCAAATTAACCAAACAAACAGATTCATAGAAAAGTTGTTCTTCTAGTGGGATTGGGGGATAGGTTTTATTCAGATACCTCAAAAGCTGTTTGAGATCATTAAATACAGTGCTGCTTACTATTTTTGAAATTTCATGGGAAGGGTAAATAACCAACCACCTCGATTAGTGTTTTAAAAAAATCTAAACTAATTAATTACTTTTTTTATTATTTGAATTACAAATCTATGTATTTTTCTTTTTTAAATAGCCCAGGTGAAAAAATGGATAAAGTAACATCTGTCTGACAGGGGTGGATACAGGGGGGGGCATTAGGACATTCGCCCCCCCCCCTGAATTTGGAATTTTTTGTTCCTATTTTCAGAATAGCTTCTCAATAGCACGCTTAAGGGAAAGAAACCCTAGTGCAAAACAGGAAAAATATCTGTCTTAATAAACTATAATGTGTGAAAAGTTAAAAATCTAGTTTTTTAGTCTTTAGCCATTAATTTTGACTCTTTTTGAGTCTTTTAAGTCAAAAAAAATTTTCGCCTGCACTGCGATTTTTTGTTCCTAATTATGAATTTTTTTGTTCCTAAAAAATCTTGCCTCCCTCCCCCTCACTTAAATCCTGTATCCGCCCCTGCTGTCTGACGTTAAATTAAAAAAAATTGAAATAAATATAATTTATCAGTATGATATTCATTTTCAAATAATGGTTAAACTCAATTGTTTTCAACCAGGGTCGTACTTTTATCGTATAATTGGGTTACGGCTTTTTGTTACTTTAATAACACAAGTTCTTGGTTTTCTTATAAAATAAAAACTGAATAATGGCCTCTCTTGTGGGTTTAGCAGCAATATACAGGGTGAGTAAAAAAGACATTATCAATGTTTTAAACAAATTTCAAAATTTAGGCATGAAAAGAATAAAACATGATAAAAAAATTCATAATTTTTCGGGAACATTGAAAGAAAAATACGCGAAACAAAATTTTTTTCAAATATTATAATTTTAAAAAGATTGTTCTGAAATTGTTAATTCTATTGTTTTCCAAAATTTCATAAAAATGTATCAAAAATTGAATGCGATTAACAAAAAGTTAAGCTAAAATTTTGTATTTTTGAAGTCATATTGACAGTTCTAAGGTTACAGTTTGAATACATTTACGGCAGATTTTCACTCTAACTTTTTGCGGAGGAAGACAATTGTTTTCCTTAATAATAAGAAAAATAATGTGTTTTTTTCTACAAAAACGTAAACAATTTCTTTAACAATAGTTTTTATGTGAATGAAAGCTATTAATTGTATGAATTAATTGTTTATAAACACAACTAGTAGAAAGGGAGCTTTAATTTTTTCTTTCTTTTTCTTTTGATCTACATATATCTGTCCTAATGTTTTCTTTATACCCCTTGTTTTTTGCAGCTATAGAATTCAGACTCAAATAAAAGGCTGTATTTTATTTTATATTTTATGCTATTGTAAAATTCTCTAAATTGAAATTTTACAATCTGAAATACAATTGATTCAATTAGAAACAAAGCTTCAAACAAAATAATAAAAAAGAATGTAGTGAAATATATGGAAAGACAACTTTTATTGATGCATTATCTGTCTAAAAAGTCAACCCGCTCCACTTAGAATTTTTAAACCAGTCTAAGAACATATCCTTGATGCTACCGAGTTCCCCAATAAATATTTGAGGCTAATCAGTCGAGAGATTTATGAGTTATGCCGGACATCCTATACAGGAAATACTACTTTATGCTGACAGATGAGGAGTACTTTCGATTCTTTCATTGTAAAAATTACCTACAGGTGGCACACCATTTCTTCTTGTTTCTGTTTACATTATCATTAAAGCAATATTGGACAAGTTTGTTCCTAAATACCTTTACTTCTGTTAAACCTAAATAAATTAATATAAATGTATCAAAATTAAACTTCTTACATGAGATTTTTCTCTAATTTAACATAAATGTTCCAAGATGATTTAACAATTTATGCCTCACATTGGGACAACAAATTTGGCTTTGAATTCCACTTTCCAATACATCATAAATACTGCAAGAATGCCTACATTTTTCCACGCAGACCTTTTTTCATATTTTTAGAGAAATTTGCAACTATTTGTCAGTATTTTCATTTTTTAACGGTCGGTGACAGAGTAAAAACAAAGGTATAATGAAAAGTATTCTTTTGATAATGGATTTAATGTAATTTAGTGCAATTTCTTACATAATCTGTTTTTATTAAAAATAAGAACGAAGACAACCATCATTTTTAGTGTTTGCGAAAAAATTAATATAGCTATATTAAATTTTTCGCAAACACTCCTTTTAATAAATTACCGTTTGGCAGGAATCCCCTTTGTTTCTCCTTCTCCTTGTAATAGTCCTTTAACTTCTTACAAGGGTTATCTTCTTCCTTCATTAGGTAGCCTAAACTTTTAGCAATCATTGATTAAACCAATCATTTCCTAAACTTTTAGCAATCATTGATTAAACCAATTATTTTTTAAACTTTTAGCAATTCTTTTTTTGAAAATCAGCAATGAATTTTAGCAATCAATGGAAAATATTCAATTATTAAAGATTCACTATTAGGGTTTCCAATCGAAATTCAGTTGCACGAAATTGCGTAGAATTGTGGAACTGCGTGGAATAGTGCATAATTGCGCGGAATTTCGCAGAATTGCATTGAATTACAGTGCTTGCAATTGCGGGCAAGTAAATTCCATTTGCATTGGAATGACTAGTCACTAGAAATTCCAACAAGAGTTCTTTAAGGACCAGAGGCCGAATTTAAAGAATTTGAGCGGCGGTTTTAATTTATGCCTTGGTGTAAATATGGTTGGTTCCACTTAAAATCGTATTAAATGTTTCAAGATTTAAGCTGGCGCTTAATTTAAACCGGGTTTTGGCGGATTTAAACCGCGGCTCAATTTCTTTAAATTCCATCTCTGGTTCCATAATAACATTCTGCCTAAGTGAGAGAAACATGAGTTTGAATAAATTTGGTGGTTTTATTAATTTCTTGAGTTTACCTATCTCCAGGTCTATTTATCTTTCCACAGGTCTATTTAGCTATCCCCAGGTTTATTTAGCTATCCCCAGGTCTATTTATCTATCTCCAGGTCTATTTAGCTATGTCCAGGTCTATTTAGCTATCTCAAGGTCTATTTATCTTTATCTAGTTTCTATTTATCTATCTCCGGGTCTATTTATCCATCTCCAGATCTATTTATCTATATCCGGGTCTATTTATCTATCTCCTGGTCTATTTATCTATCTCCAGGTCTATTTATCTGTATCTGGGTCTATTTATCTATCTCCTGGTCTATTTATTTATCTCCATGTCTATTTATCTATCTCCTGGTCTATTATCTATCTCCTGGTCTATTTATCTATCTCTAGGTCTATTTATCTATCTCCAGGTCTATTTAGCTATCTTCAGTTCTGTTTATCTATCTCCAGACCTGTTTAACTATCTCAAGGTGTATTTATCTATCTCCAGGTCTATTAATCTATCTCCAGTTCTATTTATCTATCTCTAGTTCTATTTATCTATCTCTAGATCTATTCAGCTATCTCAAGGTCTATTTATCTATCTCCAGTTCTATTTATTTATCGCTTGGTCTATGTATCCATCTCCAGGTCTATTTATCTATCTCCAGGTCTACTTATCCATCTCCAGATCTATTTATCTATATCCGGGTCTATTTATCTGTCTCCCGGTCTATCTAGCTATCTTTAGTTCTTTTTGGCTATCTCCAGGTCTATTTAGCTATCTTCAGTTCTGTTTATCTATCTTCAGACCTATTTAACTATCTCAAGGTGTATTTATCTATCTCCAGGTCTATTTATCTATCTCCGGTTGTATTTATCCATCTCCAGGTCTATTTATCTATTTCCAGGTCTATTTATCTATCTCCAGTTCTATTTATCTATCTCTAGTTCTATTTATCTATCTCCAGGTCTACCTGTCGGGCTTCTAAGGTTGGAGCAACCAGGGAATGAATCTAGAAGAAAAGAAGATAAATGATCTGACGTTGCTTTTCTTCCCGCCTGCTTAGTACTGGGCATCATATTTTTTTTGCCTTGTTTTTAAGGTTACTTATACATTTTTGGTTCGTTTTTTGCCTTTACTTTTTAGGTCAAAATTCGACTAAGTGAAAAAAGGGAGAGCAAATGTTTGAAATAAAAAAATTCGATTCCAAACATTTGTTTAAATTGGTTCTGTGCCAAATTTTGATCCTAAAAGAAAATGTAGGACAAAATAAATCCATAACGATCCAGAACGATAAAAAACCGATCTAAAATCACTGATTAAAAAAAAAAAAAAAACCAAAGCGAACTTAAAGAAATTACAATTTTTAAATTTTTTGAAAAAACAATTGAGTTTTGTAAAACCGTGACTGTTTAAAACGATCTCCATCACTACATTTCTAGCTTTGGAGTTCATTAACATAGTTTACACGTTTTATTTCAACTAATGTTTATTAAAAAAGAAAGGAATTCTTTATTCGCAGTAATTTATGCTTTTTATTAGATAAATGGAAAGTAATTGCAATAAGTTCTAATTACCTATATTTTTGTAATCTGACTTTTGATATTTTTTGTATGACATCTGTTAAATTAAATATTCTAAGTTAGAAAAATCAATGAATGTTAACATCAGGATGCAATAAGGGATTAACAAGTAAGAATATGTATGTATATTGCAAGTGTTCAGAACCTTAGTTATTTTAACATTGCTCAAAGATTGATAGAAAAAAAAAATCCAAATTAAAGGCAAAGTAAAAACTTTTAAAATGTTTTTTTTTTTATTGCTACTGTGGTATTTTGTCAGCAGTTCCTTTAAATTGTTATTTGCTCCCTCTGGTATTTTGTCCACAGTCCTTGTAAATTATTATTTGCTCCCTCTGGTATTTTGTTCACAGTCCCTTTAAATTGTTATTTGCTCCCTCAGGAATAGGGTTAAATTGTTATTTTCTCCCTCTGTTATTTTGTCCACAGTCTCTTTAAATTGTTATTTGCTCACTCTGGTATTTTGTCCACAATCCCTTTAGATTGTTATTTGCTCCCTCTGGTATTTTGTTCACAGTCCCTTTAGATAGTTATTTGCTCCCTCTGTTATTTTGTACACAGTCCCTTTAAATTGTTATTTGCTCCCTCTGGTATTTTGTTCACAGTCCCTTTAGATTGTTATTTGCTCCCTCTGTTATTTTGTGCACAGTCCCTTTAAATTGTTATTTGCTCCCTTTGGTATTTTTTCCACAGTCCCTTTAGATTGTTATTTGCTCCCTCTGGTATTTTGTTCACAGTCCCTTTAGATAGTTATTTGCTCCCTCTGGTATTTTGTTCACAGTCCCTTTAGATTGTTATTTGCTCCCTCTGTATTTTGTCCACAGTCCCTTTAAATTGTTATTTGCTCCCTCTTGTATTTTGTCCACAGTTCCTTTAAATTGTTATTTTCTCCCTCTGGTATTTTGTTCACAGTCCCTTCAAATTGTTATTTGCTCCCTCTTGTGTTTTGTCCACAGTCCCTTTAAATTGTTATTTGCTCCCTCTGGTATATTGTTCTGCAATCCCTTTAAATTGTTATTTTCTCCCTCTGGTATTTTGTTCACAGTCCCTTCAAATTGTTATTTGCTCCCTCTTGTGTTTTGTCCACAGTTCCTTTAAATTGTTATTTGCTCGGGCTCCCTTTGGTATTTTGTTCTGCAGTCCATTTAAAACTTACTTCCTGGAATTATTGTTTTTCTCTGGCAAGGTTCGAAAGGAGAAGGTCCAAGCTAACATATAAATTTTTGTTTTTTTATTTTTGTAAATTTTAATGAAATTTAAATTAAAATGTTCAGTTAAATATTTTTAGTTTCACATTACTTTGAGTATCTTTTTTACAAAAAGGTTCAAAATAAATTCAACAAATATATAGAAAAAATTGGATTTTTTTATCATTTGAATTGATTATTGATGCACTGCACTGGTTTGTGAGGCACAGGATAGGATCGAGAGTGTTCGACAATATTAAAGGGAGTGTTCGCTAAAAATGAAAGGGGTTATAGGGTTAAGAACAATTTTCTCCTTATAGACGCAACAGATAGAAGTAAGATTAGTAGCGATCAAATTTATCGCATTAAGCCTATACCCCCTTTCATTTTTCGCGAACACTCCCTTTAATATTGTCGAACACCCTTCCCATCCTGTGCCTCACAAACCAGTGCAGTGCATGAATAATCAATTCTAATGATAAAAAAATTCCAATTCTCTTTAAATGAAAATCATTTTTCTAAACTTTCTATGTGAATTAATTACCTCATTGGTCATACATTTCCCTGATGTATCAGCATCCTTCCCCCAGCCCTCTACATAGCCCATAAACTTCCCATGATTGTCAGGGAACCTGGGACCTACAGGTTCACAACACTTCTCAAATACAGGGTGTTCCAACAAACATGAGAGTTGATAGACGACTACAATATGGTCTTTCTAAACCTGATGTTACAAGTAAAGTTCTTGAAACAGTAATACAAAAAAAATAAAGAATTTGTTCAAAATCATAAATTTTCAGTTCTGATTGAAATCTGAGCTTAAGTCAAGTAATTTGGAAATTACAAAAAAAATATATTTCAAGGCAATTGGGTTCTTTTCAGAATAATACTTGTGAAGGTATAATTACATTAATAAATGCGCAACTTATTTAAAAACCTAAAACGCTCTTAAATATCTCATGTTTCGTGTAACGCCCTGTACCAGTAACAATTCTTTCTTGGTCTTTAACGGAAACAATCTTTAAAAGAGATTTCATGTTTTAATTTTCATTGATTAACCTTTAACAAATGATTTGTTTAATCTTAAAGATATTGTATTGTTTTAAACTGGAAATGAAAAGAAAATCTAAAAAGAAGAGATAAATGAAAAAAAAAATTTCAAACAATTTACCAGGGGGAAGGCAAACAGGCCTCAGGTATGTCTCATCTTCAAAATTTATTTCTCTAAAAGTTAAAACAGCTTTTGTTTGAATTAACAAAATCAAATAAAATTGCAAATATTATTTATTTACAGTGGTAGACGATTATATCAATATGATGAAGAGGACTTTTTTATTTAAGTTTTTATTATTAACAAGTATAAATCAAATTTGAAATCAAAAGTCGTCTTCATTGTATTGATATAATCGCGTACCACCGTATATTGTCTAATAATATGCCAATTTCTGTTTTTGAAACGTGTATTATACGTAATTAAAAACAATCAAATGCATATCATCAATAATTATATATAAGGACATTTGTCATTGTTAAAGGAGCCATTTTTGAGGCAGGAAACCATGAATTCAATCTTTTTAAGAGCTGTGCTATACTTACAAGTTTTTTATTTTATTTTTTATTTAACTTTTTTAAATTTTATTTTCCCAACCTGTTTAATTCTAGCAAAGCAATGTCACGCCCATTTTCCTCCGGAGTTGGGTCCAAGTCTTAAATAAGATTTCATATTTCATTTCATATTTTTATTCAACTACAAAGCACGAGATAATACAAATAAAAAAATCACAATTTACTATGTAGTTCGGACACGCCTAACCAGAGTAGGTTGCTTTAATTGGTTGGCCCACTATAAACGAATGAGAATTGCAGATAAAAACAATGTACATTGTACATTTTAAACATAAGAATGATGATAAATCAGATTAAACTTTATTATTTATCTTTTTACAAGTTTTCTCCAGAAAGTAGAAAATAGATCATGAAATAGTAATCCATTTACACTAATTATCTACCATATGAAAGACTCCCCTCAAATATTTCTTTACTGTGTGCATAGGATCATAGTTAACCCAAAATGCATATTCATATTCATATATATATATTTATATGAATTATAATGTGAATATAGCCAATTTTCCATTAACAATCTTAGGTTTTAACTGTTGCTCTAAAACTTACCATATTAAAAATTTTGCGTATTTTTCTCTTTTAAAAATGCTTTTCTGGGCAAGCGTTTTTTTCTCTGACTATTCATAAACCTATCCTTGGTTCATGTAAGTTGCCACAAAAAACGTAAATTAATTTTCCAGATAGACAAGTCAAATAAATAAATATGGGCGCAAAAAATGTGTAGGATGAAATACAGAAACTGTTTTCTATAAAATTGAAATTTTTTTTATTTTCTTTCTTATCTTTGAATTCTATTGAAGCCTATAGACGAAATGGTTGGAAATTGTGGATAAAATTTATCTTTCCGTTTTCGATTTGGAACATCTCTTTTCAGTTCATGTTCAGTAGATTTCATTTAAATATTGAATCATATAGACAAAACTGAAGAAAAGAAGTGAAAAGATCTTTGGCCCTCCGAAATTTTTAGAGGTCCCTTTTTTAAAATTATTCATCAAAAGATTTAAAAATCACCAAAACTTTTAAAACTGTTGTGAATCAAACACGCCAACTGTAAATAGATGGTTGCTTGAAAACACGTTTTTATTTTCTATTTTTTATTTGCTTAGGTTTATTAAAACGTATTAAAAGGTATTGTATGGTTTAAAATTAATGCGCATTAAGTTCTAGGTTTCTTTTGAAGCCTCTTATTTTTGTCAAATGGTGAGTGACGTAATTTAGATTAAAAACAGAAATTCTGGTTTGCTTTTGAATTGTTGTTTTTCTGTTATACACGTGAACGGACAGAAGCACCATCAATTAACCCTTCAGCTGATATATTATTTTGCCTATCAGCTTATCAGCTTATCAACATCTCAGCTGAAAAATGAACACAGGTATACAAGCTATGCATTCAAAAATACGGTTTACAAGCTATAAATTATAGAAGTATCCTGGCGACCTTTTAATAACTTTTTTTAAAAGTTAAGAAGTTTCAAGGTGGAAAGTGTTAACCATAGAGTTGCCACAGTAAAAATAGAGTTAGGAGGCACCCCCCCCCCTCCCATTTGTTAAGGGCTAATATGTTATTTTGCTAAATACAAAATTAAAACTCTGAAAATGATCGGAAATCGATTAACGACAAACTTGTGATCCCAGCTTTGTCTGCAAGAAAAGTTATCCTTAGAATTCAACCAACTCAAACAGTGCAGGGGGGGGGGGAGGCGGGACGTCACAGCCCCTTGTATGTTAGCAATGCCTCGTTTTTAACAAATACTTTGTATAACACTAGCTCAAAATTATTCGGTTTTTATAGTTTATATATAGTATAAAGAAAATTGAAATTTAATCAACATTATTATGAAACTAAGCTGAAACGATCCGTTAGACGAAAGTAACAATTTGAAAAGAAAAGCTCAACTATAGAGAGCAGACAACTTCCAGTTCTGCAATTTTTATTTTGAAGAATGAATTCGAAAGAAGATTTCGTGCTAATTAAACATGAATGATGTTGGCGCACGAATACATGAGTTACGTATCGGTTTCGAGAAAAAAAGGTTTCCTTAAAGGGACTGTAAAGGAAAAATAAAAAAGGGGTATAGGCTGAAAGCTAATCACTTTAGCTCTTGATCGCGACCCATGAAAGTTTTATCTGATATTCCTGTCTCGAGAAATTGATGTAAAACTGTGTTAAAATTGTACGAAAGGTCATATATGTAAAATTGATAAAATCTTAAACTTAAATCACGTAACCAGAACTATCACCAATGGCAGAGCAGTATACTGATCACGTGTCTCCGCCTGTATCACGTGGCCACTTTAATGCACTGCCATTGGTGGAATTTCTGGTCAAGTAATACGGAGGTATAAAATCTATTAAAAATAGAAATAAAAAATATAAAAGTAAACCTAATTTACAATTAGCTTTCTCTGGGATATCATCGTTTTCAGATTTGTTGATTATTTGCTGAATTTGATCTTTTTAAACCTACTACTTTTATACAAACTTAAATATATATTAATTTTCGTATAAATTTGACAATGTTGTATATCAATTTCTCGAGATAGGAACATCAGATATGACTTTCATGGGTCGCGATCGTGAGCTAAAGTGATTAGCTTTCAGCCTATACCCCCTTTCATTTTTCCTTTACAGTCCCTTTAAGACAGAAGCCTTCTTTCTTTACTCAAGGTTGAAAGGACTGAAAAGTAATTTCAAATTAAAGAGTTGTTATATGCTCGATTCACAAAGACACCAAATACTCTCTTTCTATGCAAAACTAACAGATAAATGATCTTCTTTCTGGAAACTGAAATCAATCTTCCATTGCGGAAACCCCATTTATTCAAATGATTGATACAGCAAAGACGAGGAATTTGAATAAACAGAAAATATTTATTTTTTGAATAAGACAAACGTTACTGCTGTAAAAATGGATAAAACTGGAGCGTCAGTTGAAAATACGTATTTAAACAAAAAAGATGATTCACTTTCAGAAATGATTTTCTGCTCACTTGAATAAATTGTCGTGGGTAAAAACTGGAATGACCAAAGGTTAAAAATTCAAGTTTTTAAAAAGTTTACACTGGGGTTTGTATTTGAAGTGAACAATGCCAGAGATAGCGGTGAATACTCTTTTCTCAATCTCAGCTGCTGGTAAGTTATCTCCTACTCCCTAGAGTATAGATAGGTTATCTCATACTCCCTAGAATATAGGTAGTTATCTCCTACTCCCTAGAGTATAGATAGGTTATCTCCTACTCCCTAGGAAATTGGAAGTTTATCTCCTACTCCCTAGAATAAAGGTAGGTTATCTTCTACTCCCTAGAATATTGGAAGGTTTTCTCCTACTCCCTAGAATATAGGAAGGTTATCTCCTACCCCCTAGAATAAAGTATGGTTATAACCGACTCCCTAGAATATAGGAAGGTTTTCTCCTACTCCCTAGAATGTAGGTAGGTTATCTACTACTCCCTAGAATATAGGAAGGTTATCCCCTTCTCCCAAGAATATAGGTAGGTTATCTTTTACTCCTTATAGTATAGGAAGGTTATCTCCTACTCCCTAGAATATCGGAAGGTTATCCCCTTCTCCCAAGAATATAGGAAGGTTATCTTCTACCTCCCTAGAATATAGGAAGGTTATATTCTACTCCCTAGAATATAAGAAGGTTATCCCCTACTCCCAAGAATATAGGAAGGTTATCTCCTACTTCCTAGAATATAGGAAGGTTATCCCCTTCTCCCAAGAATATAGGTAGGTTATCTCCTACTCCCAAGAATATAGGTAGGTTATCTCCTTCTCCCACGAATATAGGTAGGTTGTCAACTATTCCCAAGAATATAGGTAGGTTATCTCCTTCTCCCAAGAATATAGGTAGGTTATCTCCTTCTCCCAAGAATATAGGTAGGTTATCTCCTACTCCCAAGAACATAGGTAGGTTATCTCCTATTCCCAAGAATATAGGTAGGTTATCTCCTTCTCCCCGGAATCTGGGAAGGTTTTTGTAATCCTTAAAAGTCTAAGACTAAGACATAGAGACATCCCAAAATACTTAAGTAACCATTTTGCAGTAAATAAGTAAATTTAAAAAGGATTTATTTTTATCTTTGATAATTTAAGATAAATTATTTGTTAGATGTATCTTAAAGAGAGTGTTGGCGAAAAATGAAAGGGGAAAGATAGGTTGATATCGAGTTGAATTTTATAGTGATCGCTACTAATTTTAATTTTATCTTTTGTGTATCTATAAAATATCAGCCTATACTCCCTTTCATTTTCGCAAACACTTTCTTAAATTTAGCGTCTGTAAAGATTAAAAAGCTTGTTTTTATCATTGATAATAAATGACCTATTATTTGAAATATGTAATTTTTATTTTTGTTCGTAAATGTAAAAGATAATACCTTACCATTTGATTTTTCATTCCAATTGATATCCTGAACTTAGTTGTAACATTATAATCAATTTTTATACTAAAACAGAAACCATATTAAATTTTGAAATTGGGTTGCAAGATTCTTAGTTATTCAATAATGTTTAATGATTGATGAAAATAGTTTTAAAATCCATTTTTTCACCCCGGATGACAAATTTGTGGCAAGAAGAAGCCTTTTTTATATCGCTGATGTGGAAAATAACAGACTTGAAGGGTTGAAACAATTAATAATAGATCAACCTTTTATTTCCACCGGAATCCTTAATAAAGAACCTCCCCCCCCCCCCATCCACTACAAAAGATGTAATTTTTGAAATATTTAAATTTTGTTTGGTTTTCCTGTATTTTTTAGGATTATCTCTGTTTTTGACAGGACAAGGCATTTGCTTAGATTCATCGCAGAGGCAATGTGCGGCAGTCAGAATAAACTTGCTAAAAAAATGGTTTATTAAGGGAGTGTTCGCGAAAAATAACAGGGGGTACAGGCTTACGGCGAAAAATAAGCTCTTTTGATCGCTACTAATCTTACTTCCATCTGTTGCGTCTATAAAAAGAAATTTGTTAAAAACGACTCATGTTTAAGAACATATCGTCCATATCACATTCAGAAAGTTGAAACATTCAACTCGAATCGTAAAAAAATAAATTTAATTCCAAACAAATCATTCAGATATTTTCTTTTGATCAGATATTTACTTTTGAAACATTGATTCCTGTTTTGAGGATTTTTGATAATGAAAACAACATTTTCATATTTTCCAGGAATATTCGAAAATCCAGCGCCAGAGAAAAATTATTTTAAAAATTAAAAATATTATGAAATATTAACTATTTACGAATGCGTCGAAAAATAATCGATGACAGCTGTTTGTGATATCTATATGGTTTGTTTGGAATTAAATTAATTATTTTACGATCCGAGTTTAATGTTGCAACTTTCTGGATTTGTATGGACGCTACGTTCTTCAGTATAAGTCGTATTTAAAAATTTGCTCCTTATATACACAACAGATAAGAGTAAGATTAGTAGCGATCAAACACGATTATTTTCACCGTAAGCCTATACCCCCTTTTCTTTTTTCGCGAACACTCCCCTTTAGATACATTTGTTTAGCCCTAAAAGCTGTGGCAGGGGACTTTTGATACTTTCCCATTCGTTTTTTGAGCTAGTTTTTTTTTATTTTTGCACTACTTATTTCATTTTTCACTAGTTATTTAATTTTTGCGTTAGTTATTTCATTTTTGCGCTAGTTATTTCATTTTTGACACTTTGAAAATTAATATCAAAACAAACAAATATTACTTTTTTCATTTGTTGGTCATTTTTTGGCCCTTTTTAAAACTTAATTAAGGTTTTTTTAAAACTTTGAATGCACAAGTATTCTTAACACAGATTTTAACCCTGAAGCCTATTTAGGAGAAAATAGTTCAAGTGTGAGAATAAATATTACCTGTTGATAAGTGCTCCACCACAAGTAGCTTGATTGGACAATCCATTCTAAAAATATTTAAACTACTAGGTTTCTCTTTTCAAGCTTTAAGTATTGCTATAAAATCACGTGTTTGGGATTGTTTTTCATATAGAATTTCATTGAAAATAAAAATGAAAAACATCAATATTTTTTTTTAGAATAATTTTACTGAATTTTTTAAAGCCCTCCCCCCCCCTCTACCTGCGTATAAAAGATAAGTATATATGCAAGCCAAGGCTGAGCAAACTGTTATCAAGTTAAAACACTGAAAATATAACAATGATCGTAAAATGGTCCTTTCATTTTATTGTGGATGTTACCAAAGGTATTCGTAGATGTTAGATCAAATATTTTAACTTTGAAATATCAAAGGTTGCAAAGATATTTGGATTATAATATTTGAGTGTGTGGCAAGAAATTTGTTTTGCATATTTCAAAATTGCATATTAGGTACTTGCCAGCGGCGAGTTGCAAGTGTAAAATTGCCAAGTATTAACTTCCCAGGTGGCTCTTTGACATGTGACAAAATTGCCGGTTGACACTTTGCCGGTTGACACTTTATCAATTGACACTATGCCATGGGACAAAGTTGCCAGGCAACACTTTGCCAGTTTACATCATGCCATGTAACAAAGTTTGCCAGGTAACCATGTTCCAAGGTAAACTTTGCCATGTGACAATTTGCCGTGGTTGATGATTTTGCCAGTTAACTATTATTTAGTTAACAATTTTGCCAGTTAACAATTTGCCAGTTGACAATTTGCCAGTGTTGATTGGACAACTTTGAACTGGCAAATTGTCAACTGAAAAAATGATAAACTGGTAAAATGGGCACATGGGAAACTTGTTACATATGGCAAACTATGAACTGGCAAAGCGTCTCATGGCAACTTTGTCACATGGTAAAAGTGTTACATGGCAAAGTTCTACCTCGCAAATTGTTGGTGGGAACTAGGTTCCTGGCAACCCATCACTGGCAAGTACTTAACACTTAAAATTTATGTTTGTGTTACGTTTATGTTTCCAAGATCAACATTGAACTTTCCTTAAGAAATTATCTTAAACTTTCACACCAAAAAAGATGGAGATTAATGCTTTTAAAGGATTTAGCAGTAGAAACTCCTGTTCATTTGAATAGTTGAACCTTTTTCGTTGATTATAAGATTACTAAAACATTTTAGAATTCTGAACTTGACTGACGCGGCATTTTCCCGAACTTAAAATGTCATTAAAGTAAATTATGCAAAAAAAGTTGCAGACTGGAGAGCAATCTGTTCCACCAGAAAATTGAATATTTTAGCAAACTCATGATGGGGGACTTTTACCGTTAAACAAGATTAATAGCTGTAGTAAAACTTTTTAAGAGATTGTTTATGAATTTTAATCTAGAACATGAACAATAAATTATTATGTTATTAATTGTTCGGCAATGTTTTGGAGCTTTTGACATTGGTTTTATCTAAATACAGGGTTACCCAGAAAGAATGAGACAGTAAAGACGACTTGAAACTCGTAAGATATGACGATCTTAAGTTAAATTGAGACTTCTGTCTTAATTTAGCCTTTTAATGGCTTAATAAATAATTTTGAAAAGTAGCAATTCAAAGAGAATCATGAATATTAAGAAAAAGTATAAAGTTCTTAGAGTCTTCTCCGAAGTCTCATCTGTTGTGGATAACCTGTATGTTCATTAACTTAAAACAAATAATTTTAAAGTTATAACCAGAAAAAAGGGGAATGGTGAATTTCTGTTTTTAAAAGTTTGTTTATTGCAACCTATTTATTTCCAATATGTACCAAAATTTTTATTCTAGAAATATATCTGTAGTTGTAACAATTAAAAGTTTCAAACTTCAAAATAGAAATTTCATGATTTAGAGAAAGGTATAAATTGGAAATCATCGTATAATTATTGTATTTAACATAAATCATTTGAATTATTTTAATTTATTTTAAACATCTGTGTATTTAACTTTCCTTTGCTTTAATTCCCCCAACTATCCTATCTTCAACTTCTGGTTTTGTTGTGGTTGTTGTTGTTGTAGTTGTGGTAGTAGTTGCATCATCTGACTCTATCCTGTAAAATAGTACTTAAATGTAGTTGTAAAATCAGCTGAATCCCTTATCCTGTACATTTACTGTAGTTGTAAAATCAGCTGACTCCAATATCCTGTACATTTAATGTAGTTGTAAAATCAGCTGAATCCCTTATCCTGTACAATAGTATATGTACTGTAGTTGTATTATCAGCCTACTTTATAATCCTGTACTATAGTGCATGTACAATAGTTGTAATATCAACCTACTCCATAATGCTCACAGTACGCTCTAAGAGATAAGAAAAATCCCATGTCACTTTTTTTAAGATTCTGAAAGAGCTCATCAAGACGAATATTTTGCGATATGTGAGCACTTTTTCCTTTGGCGATCTTGCAATTAGAATGTTTGCAAAGTAATGTTCTATTGACATTTTTAGCTCTTTATATAGAAACCTTGGTTGAACATTTTGGAAAACTACCCGTATTTAGATGTAAAATATACTTGAAGATACTTTGTTTTAGCTGAGGATATAGTTATAATATTTATATTCTAATATCTATAATTTTCAAGAAAAAGAGTTTTTAAAAAATGGTATGAGTAAATTTAAAGGAATTGTTGACAGTAAAGGATAAAGGGAAAGGTGTATAGGAAAGGTTCAGAATATAGGATAAGAGGAAAAGATTTAAAATTAAAATTATAGAAAGGTTCAGGGTAAGGATAAGGGGAAAGTTTTAAGATTAAAGGTATAGAAAGGTTCAGGGTAAAGAATAAGGGGAGAGGTTTAAGATTTAAGGGTATAGAAGGTTCAGGATAAAGAATAAGGGGAAAGATTAAAGATTTAAAGGGTATAAAAAGGTTCAGGATAAAGAATAAAAAGAAAAGGTTTAAGATTAAAGGGTAAAGAAAGGTTCAGGATAGAGAATAAGGGGAAAGGTTTAAGATGAAAGGGTATAGAAAGGTTCAGGATAAAGAATAAGAGGAAAGGTTTAAGATTAAAGGGTATAGAAAGGTTCAGGATAAAGAATAAGAGGAAAGGTTTAACCCTATTCCCGCTGGGGGGGGTTGACCCCCCCCGGTAGTTTTTTTTACATAACTCAAAAAGTATTGGTCTGAGGCTGTTGAAATTTTCTGACTTTTCTTACATACCCATAGCCCTCCCTTTAGGCCTAAAACAGGGCTTTAATACTAACTGCCTGAGTCCTCAGGCACACTGCCTGAATGACTGCTTTTTCCTGTAACAAACTAAATCTTTGTTTTGACCCACTTTCACTTGTCAGATTTTGATAAAATTTAGCTTTTTGGAAAGCCTTTGACAAAAGGAAACAAATTGCACAAGTTTTGCGAAAAAAAATTGCAAATTTTTTGCAAACAACCTGCTAAAGGAAATTTGCACATTTTTAGTTTTTCTTGATTAAAAATCATGTTATTTAAAATTTTGCAAAAATTTTTGCATATTTGAATTGGCATGGTCAAGGGCTTTTCAAAAATGTATAATTTTTCATTTTTTTGACAAATTTTTTTTTGCACACATTTTTACTATATAACTGGATTTTGCGATAAAAAATTCAACTTTTGCAAATTTGCAAATTTTTTTGCAGATTCTAAAAGTAGAGCACAAGAGCTTTCTAATGATGTATCATTTGTCATATTTGGACATCAAACATGGGATTTAGAGGGGGGGTCAAATTGCCCCCCCCCCAGCGTATTCTGGTTTTCAAGTACCCCAGCAGAGATAGGGTTAAGATTAAAAGGTATGAAAAGGTTCAGGGTAAAAGTTTAGGGATAAGGTCTTGAGTACAGAGTAAAAAAAACTCTAATTATATCCTCAGCTAAAACAGAGTATCCTGAAGTACATACTACATCTAAATATTGGTATGTTTATCAAAATTGTCAAGGTAAGTTTCTGTGTAAATAGTTGAATAATAAATGAATAAATCCTTACTTTGCCAATATGCAATTAGCGGGAAAATTCGCCCTAGGAAAAAGTGCTGACATATCGCAAAATGTTAATCTTGATGAGCTCTTTCAAAATCTCAAAAAAATTTACATGGGAGTTTTTATCTCTTAGAGGTCCTTCAAGCACACTGTGTGCTGTACAATAGTACAATTACACTGTACAGAAGTTGTAATATCAGCTGACTCCATAATCCAATAGAATAGTGCTGTTTTTTCCTGTACTTAAACAAAGACAAAACTGTTGTATGTGGGACAAGTTTAGCAACTGAGCTCAATATCTTCTGGTGAAACTTTTAATGAAGAAGTTAAATGCCTTAAATCCTTGGTACAAATGAAGATAATTGACCCATGAAAGAAATGAAAAAACCGTTGAGGGACAATTAAAAAAAAACTATTGAAATATGTCTGTATAATTTTTTTTTAAATAAGATTAAATTTAAGATTAATTAAACTTTAAAGGCTGATTAGAGGTCGTCTTCAAACTTACATTATTTCCTCAGGTTTTTGCCCTCCACCACAAGAACACTTCATGTTCCCATATTTATACAAATTCGATCCTTAACATGCGAATAAAAGTGAAATTTGGCTTTTACATAATTTTTAGATTGTTTTAACTTAAAGAGTTTACCAGATTTCTTCTTGGAAATTTTGTCGTTGCTATAATCTCGACTCTTAGGGTCTCCTTCATACTCATCATCTTTTTCTTCTTCTGTTTCAGAAGTTTCAGTAGTAGTACCTTCAGTTGTATCTACAGTAGTACTACTCTCTGTTTCAGTAGTATCATCTTCATTAATATCTTTTGTAGTATCTTCAGAAGATCCTTCAGTAGTGTCATCAGCCGAAGTATCTCCAATAGAACTTCCTTCAGTCGTATCTGTGATCTCAGATGCTTGAAGTGTTGTGCCAGGTAATAGAGAACAAACTTAAAGGGAGTGTTCGCGAAAAATTATCAATGGTGGTCACTACTAATCTTACTTCTAGTGTTGTGTCTATAAGGAGAAAATTGTGAAACACGACTCATACTGAAAAACTTTGCGTTCATACAAATTCAGAAAGTTGCAACTCGGATTGTAAAAAATTCATTTTTTTCCAAACAAATCATTCAGAAATTACATAATCGTAATTTTTTGGCACATTCGTATAAAGATGATATTTCACAATACTTTTGTTTGTTTTATATAAAATATACTTAAAACGTCGATTAGTTTTACCCCAGGTGTTTCTGCTCTTGATGCTCTGAATGATTCAACGTGTGGACGCTACGTTCTTCGGTAAGAGTAATTTTTAACAATTTTTTCCTTTAAGACGCAACAGATAGAGTGAGATTATAAGCGTTTACTTTTCATAATTTTTCGCTGTCTGTAAGTCTATTCCCTCTTTAATTTTTTTTGCAAATACTCCCTTTAATAACTATTATTGTACATGCAGAATTGTAAATAAATTTAGAATAATGTGCAAAAGTGACAAAAAATTCAATTTTTAAGGACCACTTGACTCATTATTTGATAGCCATCTTGAAACAAAAATTGGCGCAAAACTGGCAAAATTACCCTGAAAAACTTTGTCTGATCAAGTATGGATTAATGAATTAAATATAAATTTTTCTTATTTTTTCAATTTTGATTTCTTTACAAAAATGACTTGCACATTTTTACTGCAGGAAAAAAATAATAATTTTCTGAATTAAACAATTTAAGCTTAAAAAAACAGTCATCTTGACCAAATGTAAAATGTTCAAAAAAATGAACTGACCAAATGTAAAATGTTCAAACAAATGAACTGACCAAATGTAAAATGTCCAAACCAATGCAATGACCAAATGTAAAATGTCCAAACCAATGCAATGACAAAATATAAAATGTCAAAACGAATGAACTGACCAAATGTAAAATGTCAAATCGAATGAACTGACCAAATGTAAAAAGGTCCAAACGAATGAACTGACCAAATGTAAAAAGGTCCAAACGAATGAACTGACCAAATGTAAAATGTCCAAACGAATGAACTGACCAAATGAAAAATATCCAAACGAATGAACTGACCAAAAGTAAAATGTCCAGAAGAGTGAACTGACCAAATGTAAAATGTCAAAAAGGATGAACTGACCAAATGTAAAATGTTCAAACGAATGAATTGACCAAATGTAACATAGACAAAGTTTAAATAGTTGATCAAACTTTGATTGGATAATTCATTTAGTTTTGTATCTTCTAATGTCATAATTTCAAGTTGTTAGGTCAAACAGTCAAAATTTAATATTCAAAGGTTTACACAATCAGAGCTGGGAACTTTAGAATGGTGGACATCAAGATCAATGCTTGATCCTCTCTTTTTCTTAATCTCTAGACTGACCTAATCTTGTATAAAGTGTATAAAATTCAACCAATCAGACTCGCGTATCAGAAGCCGTGAAATTTGAAATTTTGCGTGCAATTTAAGATTAGTGTAAAGAAACGGGAGGGACTCTCTAATTATGAACAACCGATTTTTGATTTGTCTTTGTACTATATCCATAAAGAGTGGATTAAACAAGAAATTAAAAGTGTCCCTATTGAATATTCGGATTAAGCAGTCGGGATTAAAGGTATCCCATTCTAAAGTTCCCAGCTCAGGTTTCACAATGGGTATGCAAGTAAAGCGCAATCGTCAACTTTACCTGTAAGCAGTAAAATAATTCCTATTTTCTTCATCATATTCATTTTATCTGAATGAATATATTAAGAACCAAAAACAGAAGAAGTTCTTGTTGAGATTTCAGATCACAGTTGCACTTTAAATGTAAATAAACCCTAACCCTGCGCTTATATCTCATTTTACTTACTTTTTTGTTCTGTCAAGTCTGTAAAATAAGTTAGAGAATTTTCAAGGTTTCAAAAACACGCCATGCTGTTGATATCAAAATGTTTGTAAATAAAAATAATTGATCACTCATTCACTTGAAATTTCACCAACAGCTAGTTAATGAAGTGTAATGTCAGTATATCTGTCTACACTAAAAATAGTTTAGGATGCATATTATTCAAACAATAAACGAAGTGTCAGATTTCAAGCATTAAATATCAATAAATAGGCATAATAAAAGAAAACCAGAAAGTAAAAGGCTTTTATCAAACCGAAGCTACTTAATAAGTTTATGTTCCAATTTAAATCACATAACAGATACAATATAGGGGTGGCCTTAGTTTTAGTGACTGATTTTTTAAACCTTACAAAGGCTTCGGGGTCTGAATCTATCTATAGCCTGGGGGGGTGGGCGTTCCACGCCACTTTTTATAAAATTCCTTTTAGTAAAGGTATAGGGTTGCTATGCATATTTAAAGCCAAATTCCTAAGGCCAGTTTAGGCGCTAGGGAGGTTTGAATGTTACAAAAAAAAAGGTCAGAAAAATGTAAAACATAGTTTTTATTTTTGACACATATTAAGATGTGATGCACAATTTCCCTCCATTTTCTAAGGCCTTTTCAAATATGTAGTTTTTAGATCTGAAGCTATAAAAAAAAAAAAAAGTTGGGGGGTATTTTTTACATGGACCGGCCTTTTAAACGTCGATCCTGTACCTTAAGCTAAGGGTTTCCAATCGGAATTCCGTTGCGCGTAATTGTGCGAAATTATAAACAATTTTGCTTCCGCTTGCGCCATTTCATTGAACGGAATTGCGCTATGATTGCAAACTAGGAATCAATTAAATATTGGCGAATTGTGCGGAATTGTGTGCAAAGGAATTGCTTTTTCATCTAAAAATCAATAATTTTGAACTGTGCCTTACATTTAGATATCCGAAATTTTCAAGTTTCTTGTGGTTAAGATACTATATTAATAATTTAATATGATGCATTTTTCACTCGTTCACATTGGATGAACATTAAAATTGAAAACTTTTTTGGTAAAATTGTAAGGTTTGTTTAATCAAAATTAGATATTTTGCTACAGTGAGAACCAGAACACTATGGTGAAGGAAGACTATTACAGTGCATGTCTAAATGTCTAAAAGTCGTCGTTCTATGCCATATTTTTCTGGTATTTATGCTGTATATGAATATTATAAAAAAATTGCTTTAAATTCAATTTTCTTAGCATTTTGAACTATTTAAAAATCCTCTCTTGCACCCTAGCCTTAAAAGGAAAAATTATGAAATTTGATAAAAATTGCCCAGCTGCAATTATAGGTTTATGAAAAAACGACAATTGTTAAAATAATCCTTTGTTTTTGTAAAAAAAACGATTATTTTATTGAATGGTTTAGCTATCATTTTTATTTATTTCTCTAAACGATCCAAATCGTTTGTCTATATTTATTTCCTGAACGACGCCATCCTTCACAAGAACTATCCCCATCTCTAAACCTAAACTAAAACCTCAAAGCGTGAAGGCAGGTGGCTATCATTTTTTATTGTTATTTGATAAATAGAATTTATCTTCGTTTCTGAACAAACATTATAATAAATGTATATATATACATTTATAAATATTTATATTATATTTGTCTATTCTTTGTTTAGCTTATGCTTCCATGCAGAATACAAGAAAAGACAAGAGAATAATTAATATATGTCATGTTCAACAAATACCTAAATACCTCAATGGTAGAAGAAAACTGTAATATTTTGTGTGGAATATCAAAGTACCGAAACACCCAGGAGTGACAAGGGTTGAATGCGTTTGATTTTTAAATTTTAATTTAATCGCAATCTTTAAATTTACAGAGTTGCATTTTATGATGTTAATTTTATTTCCTTTGTTATATCCATAGTGCAGAAGGTTTGGATATATTATTCTTCATGAGTATGCTTAATTTTTCCGCACAAACTAGATCCAATATTGATTCAGGAACCCTTTTTAAAAAATATGAAGAAAATTGGCCATACCATAAAATTGGTCGTTTGTAATTTAAAAATCGTAAATTGGTATTAAATTCTCAGAAATATTTCAATATCACTGTGATCTTTTCCAGAGCAGAAAACTTTAGAATGATGGGTGTCAAGATTAATGCTTGATCCTCTATTTTTCTTAATATCAAGAATAACTTAATCTTGTACTTGTATCCTGAAAAGTGTATAAAATTCAACCAATCAGAGTCGCGTATAAGAAGCCAATAAATTTGAAATTTTAAGATTTATGATTTAAGATTTATGTACAGACACGGGAGGGACTCTCTTATTTAAAAAACCGGTTTTTGATTTTTCTCTACTTTATCCAAGAAAGAATGGTTTAAGAAGAAAATCAAAAGTGTGTCCATTGGATACTCAGATTAAGTAGTAATCGGGATTAAGGATATCTCATTCTAAAGTTTTCAGTTCTGGCTACATTTGTTGCGGAAACCCGCTGGGTAGACTCTACACTCGGTAGCCTGACTGGACAGTACGACTGTACGTTTTGGACCGGCACAGATCATGTAACTTTTAGACTTGGGTGCCATGCGCTTTTCTTTAAATTGAAATGAGAAACTAAGCATTGATTTTAACTAAATAAATGAAACTCAAGGACTGTTTTTTATTGACTTTTTCTGATTTCGTATTGGAAATCCAATATTATTGATTTTTGGGGACCAATTATACAATTTAGTATTAGACAATAAGCATTTTTTTATTAAAGGACCTTTCGTATTATTTACAATAGTACGTACACATATGCTATAGACATTGTTTTTAAATAAATCCCAGCCCATTATGCCTTTTACGTTTCAATAATAAGAAATGGATCTTTTATGACAAACAATAATCTTTATGATTTCTTTCTTTCTAAATAAAAAACAAAAACAAAAATAATTTGTTCTTAAAAATATTTCCTGTTTTCCAACTCGGTCCACGTAAATGTCAATGAAAAGTATTTTCACAATGCAACTTTTGAAAATTTTATTTTTTATTACTCTCCTTCATGTCTTTTTCTTTTCTTTGTATTCTCTGTATTGAATAAAAATATAGATCTCGTTCAGAATTCTTTATCAATAGTAATAAATAATATTGAATTATAACCATGAAGTAAGACACATTTCCCGATACTATAAGATATTGTTTTCAGATTTTTTAATAATTTTAGATTTAGGAAATATATAAATTTTACAAAAATTAAAAATAGAAGCAATTTTTAAATCTAAATTTTTAAAAGTTTCATTGTATGATTTGTTGGCATGGCTTGATGAATGTTTTAAGAATTCAACAAGTTTAGTAAAATATGCTTAAATTTCTCTGACAAGCTGTAGTTGTTTCTTTTTGATATTTTAATCAAAAAGGAAGTTTAACAAAGTTAGAACCTCAAAATTAGGTTTTAGTATTTAAGAAAAAAAGGTGTATTCAATTATTTGATTTAATGATACTAAAACAAGTATGGAATTTGGAGTGGCTTATTAAACTGTTGAAAGATATGTGATGAACAAAAAACACTGCAATGATGATTATGTCACATGTAGGGCCCGTAAACGTGACTTTCCATGAACATTTGTCCAATTTATTTTGTTCTTGTTGTTTTGTTACTTGGACATTTCTTTCTATTAAACGTATAGATTAACTTTCATACAATAAACAATTTTTAAGCTTGAAAGAAATATGTTATCTGTCACATTATTTTTCATATAAAGGATTCAAGACTATCGTTGCATAAAGCAAGCAAGTCCCTCACTGTAAATCTGGAATTAAAATTAAAATTACAATAAGATTGCTTAAATATTGTCTTACTTTACTGCACAATTCTGTAGGACAATAACATTTTAATTTATGGGTTACAATTCAGCCCTCTGTCTACGAAACTATGTTTTTGCTTTTATCGTCAAATATATGACAATATAAAAGATGTGATACTCAAGGAACTATTAAAATAATGTGCTGTTACTTAGACCATTGAGACGTCATTTGTTTCAGAAACACCAAACTGTCGCATTCTTTAGTAATAGTAAATAGTATTTTATACTAGGCTTCTAGGGTTTGTTTCACTCTAAGATATAAAAAGTGAGTTCTTATATTTCGTACATTTTCTTTCACGGATTTCCTGATTTCATTGGTACATTTTAAACATTGTTGAATCATTTGAATTAATTTTACTTTTTAATCTCACTAGATTTTACATCTCTCATAGAAGATTGTTGAGAGAAAAATTGGTCAAGATTTCAAGTCAAAGTTGGGTAGCCAATTTCTTATTTCTCAATGAAATACAAAGTCACTAAATTTTGCTATTACTATTAGAAAAGAGAAAATAGTTTTATCAACTTTAATAGAAAAAAACTTTTCTCAATGAAACTCAATATAACGCTGAAAAGGTGTTAATGGACAAAAAAAGTTTTAAGAGCGTTCTGTTTGTCTTTCACAGAGGCCTAAATTTGTTAAGGAAAATTTATCTGAAAAGTTTTGAAATCAGTTCGTAATACAAAATACTTATATATACATTTTGTAATAAAAGAAAGAAATCAATATTTTTTCTGTTTCCGTGTATCTATAAGATGATATAATTTTTCAACTATATATATTCATATGCTCGATCTCAGTAAGAAAATGATTAAGAAAATAAATTTTAAAAATACTGTTAATGATAATATTTTCTTATAAAACTATTTTTTAATATAGCTTGATTAAATCATTCAAATTCTTTTTGTTGAAGGAAAAAAAATAAAAGCTTAAAAATTTGCTGCTGTGTTAAGGAGAATTTTGTGTAGCCAATTCCAAATAATTTCTCATGACTAAAAGTTAGAGAATTTCTGAAAATTCCATCCTTTTTTTTACCTGGAAAAGGGAAAAAATCTAAATTACAATG